TATATATATATAAAATGAAGTTGGTTTTCTCATTCTGTGCATGGCCTACAATGAATAAATTAAAAGAATTAAGTCAAGTGCAAATTTGGCCTTTTGGCATAGGTGGTACATAAATTTTTTGAAAGCTTGTCCAAAAGCTTGCCCCAACTACAATCATGGTACAGCTATTTTTTTTTTTCATTAAGTGGTACCAGTATCTTGAAGACTAGAGAGATGGCAAATGAAGACCACAAGTCAACATTTGTTCTTTAATGATAATCCAGTAACAAAATCTTAGGATGTGTCTCTACTTAGAGGGAGTTACACACCTGAGCTGGCTCTGCTCATGCTAACCAGCATTCTAGTCACATCCACATATCCTCCTGGCACTGCTCCTCCACTAAAATCTGTCAAGAATTGTCACTAATTAGCTTGGACACTTTTGGAAGCTAACGTGGCTAGATTCCCAGCCTCTACAGTGTCTCTGATGTCCACTAATTCAACATTTCTATACTTCGTTTCCTAGAGTAACCAAATCCTTAAAGACAAGAATCCACAAGGAGTTATAATGAAACAAATGACTGACAGCTATTTGTCACCAAGGTTATTCAGGGGACTAAATGCAAGTGAAGACTATGCCCTCTGAGCCCAGAGGACTACATGGAGTATTTGACTTGAAGAAAAAAAAGTTAAACTTACTTATTGATATCTATTTGTTGCAGTCTTTCATGAAAGCTATCAGCAACTTCTGTAAAATTCTCCACAGCTGAAAAGAGAGCATCTGGAGGGAATAGGAAGGAAGTATTTCACTTCAAATTCTGAAGGAGTTATTTAACAAATCAAACTCTTCAAATTAGATCTTTGTCTTTCACTGTGATCATGATCTGTCAATTCTCACTGAATGAAAATCATGTTACTCCATTCCTACACTAAAACTATGCAATTCTGTTAAAATTTGCCTTGGAGACCACAGAAATCAGTATTTTTGTGAATATTTTTTATTATTGGCTACTTAAAAAAATGTACAGAAATACCAAAAACTAGAGCATGGATTGCCAGAACCAGACTGTTCAGGTAGGTCTGGGATTTTATAAATCCCAGCAACCTGTGTTTTATGGGTATGTCCCTCCACAGACACAGAGTTTTGAGAAACACTGAGAGTGTACGTACATGTGCACGTGTACCTGATATTGGCCACTAGTAGCCAAGTCTTAAACTGAATATTATATAATGCTGCCAATAAAATAAAGGCTTCTCAGGCAGGAGGCATGTTGTGAATCCCTGTAACATGAAATAAAATTTCACATGCCTGCACAAGATCCCTATTGTGGCATGAACCATTCCTGCCTGACTTAGGCCTGAGGCAGACTTCTTATGGTGCTTGCACTTGCCATCATGTATCCATAAACTGCAAAAAGAAAAGTTCTGACTGGATAAAAGGAGAATCTTTTTACCCGAGGACAGTCAAGCACTGTGATCCAGAGAGGCTCTGTAGTCTCTGTCCTTGGAGGTTTTCAAGACCAGATGGAATAAAGCCCTGAGCAACCTGGTCTGACCTCAGACTCTGCCTTGGGCAAGCTCACCTAGAAAACTTCTGAGGTTCCTTCTAACATGAATTATTCTATGATCCTATGATCAGTGTTGGACAGAGAATTATCCAACACCATAAGCTGCAAAGCAGTGTGATTTTTTTCTAGAGACCAAGACAAAGACATCTTGTTGCCAGTATCTGTGAACCACACACATGTCAAAGAACCTGTAAGTGTTAACTCTACACAGGCATGCTAGTGACAAAATACTCAAATTTCAAATTATTGGAGGGTGAAGCTCTTGTTTTATTTACGGTTCATGCAGCACAAGGCAAATACAAGGTCATGACTAAGACACACATTAAGATAAGGCATGGCCAGAATTAAGAGAGGAGGAGTGCAATGAAAGATTGTACGTACCAAAAGATATGTTGTATGTTGCCAGTTCCTCTTCATGATTTCTTGACAAATTATAGATGATGTGAGCATAGTTGCTCACAGCTGATGCATAATCTCTACAGTCGAAAGGAAGCACAATGGAGTTGGCCAATTCAAACACCAGCCCTCCCCGTACCTGAGCTACTGTCAGATGATTCTTGAAAGTGGGATCATAAAACTTCTCCACAATTTCATAGGTTTCATAGACACTGTGGTAAACTGGATAGCTGCTATATTTTTCTACATTCTGAAACAGACAAACCCCCCAAAAAATATTATTCAGCTGTGGATACTTCAGCTTTGCTTGAAAACCTTTGCTGTGGGATTCAAGGCATTGTAAAATGTTCAGGTCACACTAATCCTATGTAACCACTACAGACAGTTGAATGAGAAAAACTGCTCAGTGATGGCTCTCTTATACATCAACCTATGACGAGATGAATGGTCATGTGGAGATGTCTCTTTCCACTGACTACCTATAGAGCTAAAGAAGGTAGCTAAGAACAGACACATAACTTTTAGTTGGCTAAATTAAGGTGAGATTGCCCCTCCTCTCTTTGCTTGGTTCTCAACAGTCATTTCTGTTTGTGTCTTTGGATACGACTTTTCAGAGGAAAGGACCACACGGAACAGATTGCTCCTTGAACATTTCTCAGTTAGTCTCATGCCACAGTATGCTCCAGAATCAAACCCATATTTTCCAGAAAACATGAACCATTTTGGATTCAAAGCTTCATAAGTTATTACAAATAATTCATAAGACACTCGTAAGCCTTCATCAACCACAGGTAATTTTGAGCACATGCATTTACCCTAAGCAAAGGTCCTTTTGTCTGACTGATACCAAGCTGACCATTCCTATTTATTAAATAAATTCAATTTATTAAAATTATTAAACTGTAGTAGCACATTAGAGTTCTAGTAATGATCTGGGACTCCACTCTGACACACTAAACAAAACTACTCCAAAAAGCTGTCAGTTTAAATGGCCCAATTAGAGGTGACATGATTCAGGCTGCTACATGGGAGATAAAATTACAAAGACACAGACTTACCCAATTTTTACTGTACCGTGCCCTGCCTGAAGCGATGCCAAGACGTTGAAAAAAGACTTCAAAGTCATTGCCAGAACCCAGTTTATTTATTCTTTTAACAAGAAAGAGGAAAATGCCTTAAGTGACAATACTTAAAGTGTAATTTTAATTTGCTTCCAAGTACTGTGGCAATTATTTATTCTTCAGTCGCAGTCACT